TCGCGTTGTTGAGTTGTAGTGTTGAGGATATTTCGTTGTTTTGGTGATCGCGTGCGGAACGCGGAACCGTGCGGCACGAGCTCCGGCACGGTACCGTGTCCGTGCGCGCAATGCACGCGGTCGCGCAATGCACGATATCCTCAAAATAGGCTACTTTTTCAACGCGTCACAACACAACAACATGACTCCAATTGAAGCTGCGCTTGCGCATATAAATGCACTTGAACCTAGAGAGAAACTTGTCTATCAAAAAATTGCAGATTAATACAGTTGCAGTCAGTCAACGTTGTCGCGGAGGCACTGGCAGCAGACAACATCGCGTGCAGTCAAGGACTCTGAGCAGCACAAACTCAACCCACAACAAGAGGCAGAGCTTGTAAAGTATATACAAGAACTCACTACCCGTCGCTTACCACCTACAAGAGAGATGATACAAAATTTCGCCTCTGCTGTAGCGCAGGAGACGCTCGCTGATAGCTGGGTCACTCGCTTCCTCCACCGTCACAACAACTGCCTCCTGCCACGTTGGGCCACCGCTATGGACTCCAATCGCCACTACGCCGAGTCATATACCAAGTATAAACAGTACTTTGATATACCCTACTCTAAGATTGATGAGTACAACATAGAGCCAGAAAACACATACAATATGGACGAGAAGGGCTTTATGATAGGGGTCATTGGCAGGTCAAAAAGAGTATTCAACAAGCTTCAATATGAGAGGAAGGAGGTGCGGCAGTCTATACAAGCTGGTAACCGGGAGTGGGTGACAGTGCTAGCTTGTGTATGTGCTGATGGGAGTGCTTTACCACCTGGTATCATATATGAGGCAGCTGGGCCAGCTATACGATCGAGCTGGGTGGACGATATCAAACCAGAACAGCACTCAGCACACTTCACTACATCCCCTACAGGCTGGACAAACAACAACGTTGGCCTTGCCTGGCTTGAACAGGTGTTTGATCGCTATACCAAGCAGAAATCACGTGTGCAGTACCGGCTCTTAGTTGTAGATGGCCATGGCTCCCATATAACGATGGAGTTCATCAAGTACTGTGATGATCATCGAATTCTGCTGGCTATACTGCCCCCGCACTCAACCCAGACTCTCCAGCCGTTGGACGTAGTCTGCTTCGCCCCACTGGCTCATTTCTATACTATTGAGCTCACTGAGTACCTCCAGCAAAGCCTAGGGTGGCTCCCAGTCAAGAAAGGTGACTTCTTTCCACTATTCTGGCGTGCTTGGGTGAAGAGCTTTACAGAGAGTACTGTATTGAGCTCCTTCAGAGTTACTGGGATATGCCTACCTGATAGTAGCCAAGTACTTGATCGCTTCACCCACGGAACCCCTGAGGCAGCTGAGAGCTCTGATTCGTCTACTTATGTGTATAGCGGTGACGACTGGGTCAAAGTCTAGAGTCTTATCAAGGCTGCAGTGAAGGACAACGATAGTAGAGAGACCTGGAAGCTTTATCGGACTCTCTACCATCTATCAGTGCAGAATCAGCTTATACACCATGAGCTGCAGGGCCTTAAGGAGGCTGTAAAGACTAAGAACAAGCACAACAAGAAGCCTAAAGTACTGCCTCTGCAGCGGGAGCAGGAATATTGGAGTGAAGTGACTTTCTGGTCACCTACCAAGCGACGTGAGGCAGAGGAGCGTTATCAGCTACAACAACAACAGGAGGAAAGAGAAGAGCTTGCCAAAGTAGAGCAGCGGCAAGCACGCGATAAGAAGAAGCAGGCACAGGAAGGAGAGAAGGAGGAGAGGCGTGTGGCGCGAGAGGAGAGGAAGAAAGTGCAGGAGAAGGAGAGAGCTGAACAGGCAGCTGAAAAACAACGTCAGAAAGACGCCCACAACGCTGCCAAACCTATACAGTTATCCCAAACAGGCAAGAAGAGAGCCTCATTACTATCTATACAAAAGAGCAAGCGTCAAAAACGTGTGGTGGATGCCGTGGGTGGTGCTCAAGCCCAGGAGGCCTCCTCAAGCCAACCACCCGTCACGACGTCACGCGGCCGCAGCGTCAGACTGCCAAGTAAATTTAAATAGTACAAATTAATCGTCATACTTCAATTACTACTACACCACAATATTATATATATTTACCATTTGTGGGTGGCTGTAGAGCCTCATTTTTGTGAACCCGTTGGGCCCAAAAATCGTGCATTGCGCAACCGCGTGCATTGCGCGCACGGACACGGTAATCCCCTTAGGAGCCAAGTTTTCTCCGTATGCCGCCTGTTCGAATCTGGCAGTTCCCTTCCGGGTACGGCTTGCGTCTCATAGACACACCGTAGTTGCCAAAACTTCCTCTGTGCTTCGCCCAGCACTTCTGGAGAAAGGGGGTGGAAACTGCGGCTAGCGAACATGAATGAAAATGAGACTGAAGTGAATAGACGGCAAGCACAAGTAAGATCAAAATTGCCAGCGATTTGCGCATTAGTGGTGTACGGAGAGGCTGTGGATGATTGACGGTCTGGTGAAGCTCGTCAATTGGAAAGTGGGGGGAGGGGGTCACCCTCGTCACAAACAAAGTAACACAACACAAACTGACACAACATATCAAGAGATCCCACGCGCCACAGTATACAATTGGCATTCGGCGATGAAGTTGCCACAAAGCCCCGTCCGTAATGTACAAATCTTACAGTGTCGTCCCAAGTACTTGTTACATTTTACCGCCAGTGAGCTCCTCGGCCAGCTTCCTGACGCGCTCCTTAGCCAAACCAACACCCTCTCCGCCACGCAGCTTCTGCATCTTGTCGCCGACGCCCTCAGGCATGGGTCCGGCCCAGGGCGACAGGCCCTCATGGTTGCCCTGCTGGCGACGGCCCTCATTACCCTTCATGTCCCATCCAACAGGGTTCTCCTCGGTGCCGAATGCCTCTTCGATAGCTAGGTCCAGCTGCTCCTCGCTAACGATGAATGTCCGCGCGTTGGTGTAGAGGTCGTGCAAGCGAGACTGGCGCACTGCCTCCTGCGCGGCCTGCCGCTTCTCGTACGCCCGTCTCCGCGCCTCGATGTTCTTCTCGGATGCCGGCAGAGAGTCGGCAAGGAAGTCGCGGACGCCCTTGGACACAGATGTCTCGGTCAGGATGTCGACATCGCGCCTCGGTGCCATGGCGAGCTTCCTCCGCATCTCACCGCTCTGCTGTATGCGGTCCAGGTGCTGCGCCTCTGACGTGACCTTGCGTGCATGCAGCTCCTTGACACCTTCCTTCAGGGCCTCCTTCCTTGTGTCGGCCAGGCGCTGCTTGTAGAGGCGTAAGTCGGCGTCGCGGCTGAAGGGCCCGGGGGCCTTGCGGTCCTTTGCGTCCTTGGTCGTCCTACGGAGGAAGCTCTCCACATCTGCGTGCGGGCTGCGCGTCCTTGTGATGTCGCGAGGGATGGGCAGATGGCCCTTGAGGTTGGGGTCCATGGGGAATGTCGGCTGCGCAGGCTTGGGGACCTCGATGTAATTGGGCGACTGGGGGCCCAGGGCCAGCGCCGCCGGCGTCGAGCAGAACGGGCGGGCATTGGGGCAGCTAACCGGCACCGATGGGGCCCACGAGGCGCGGACGGGTATCCTGGGCGGCATTGCGATGGTTGTGCTGGTCTTCACCCACCGTGGAGGTGCTCGCTGTCGTCCGGTCGGGGTCGCGCCTGCGGAAAATGTTGCCAAGGCGCTAGGCCGCATGGGGGTCCGCATAGCTGAGAAAAAGTTCGAAAATGTTCGGTCTCTTGTTCCTCCACCCGCCAATCTTCTTCACCACCACCGCAAGCCGCCATACACAGCAAAGATGGGAACCGGCAAGAAAGAGGCCAACCGCAAGGAGCGCCAGGGTAAAACCGGCGATGGTATGGGCAACGTGAAGGTCAAGGGCGAGAACTTTTACCGGTATGCGCAGAGCAGAATGTCGTAGTACAAGGCACCTGGCTAACACGAGAAAAGCTCGGCGAAGAAGGTCAAGGTCCTCAAGCGCCTGACAGACGGCAAGGCCCAGAGGAACGCTGCCGGAGACATCACCAAGGCCGCCTCCTACCAGTCCCGCGAAGCGCCCGTCGCCCGCGTCGAGCCCAACAGGAAGTGGTTCAATAACACCCGAGTAATCTCCCAGGATGCCCTCGATTCCTTCCGCTCGGCTGTCCAGGCACAGGCCTCCAACCCCACGACCTTTCTCATGAAGCGCAACAAGCTGCCTATGAGCCTGATCGAGGAGAAGGGCAACATCAACGGCCTCAAGCAGCACGGTGCCAAGATTGCCGTGGCCTCGCAGCCTTTCTCAGAGACGTTCGGCGTGAAGGCTCAGCGCAAGAAGCCCAAGCTAGACTTCAGCTCCATTGAAGACCTTGCAGCGCGCACCGAGACAATGAACGAGACGTACCACGAGAAGCTCGAGCAGGCTAAGCTGCTGTCAGGCACATCTGCCGACCCAGATGAGAAGAACGAGGACGGCGACTTTGCCAGTGCACGCGAATTTATCTTCATGAAGGGCACCTCGAAACGTATCTGGAACGAGCTATACAAAGTCATCGACTCCAGTGATGTTATCCTCCACGTCCTTGATGCCCGTGACCCCGACGGCACGCGCTGTCGCAGTGTGGAGAAATACATCCGCACTGAGGCGCCTCACAAGCATCTGGTCTTCGTCCTGAACAAGGTCGATCTGGTACCCTCTAAGGTAGCAGTAAGTTCACCCTCCACTGCAAACCCCCCTCCCCTCCCCTCCCCTCTCCCCTTTATCAGCGTCCCCCATTTTAAGTCAAGGACCTATTCTTTTCCTCGTGAAATACTATTCATGAATTGGTTCTGTTACAAACTGGGAAGATTGAGAACGACTCGCTTTCCCAATGCCGTCTTGGCTGCGGGTTGACGGCTTCCGTTTTGGTCGCTGTCGCTAGAGTTCAGAGTGATCTGTTTGAGTTGAAGGCCGATTCCGCCTGGCGGGACCTTGTGTCGGTCTTCTTAGTAACGCTTCACACATGCCTTTGATTTAGACATTGTCTTTAAAAGCTTGCTTGCATATCATGACTAATATCATTATAGGCTGCCTGGGTGAGACATCTCAGCAAGGAGTTCCCCACTCTCGGTACGTGCAACCAACGCTTCATGCTTAGACCAATGCTAATCGTATGCAGCCTTCCACGCCAACATCAACAACTCCTTTGGAAAGGGTTCTCTCATCGCCCTGCTCCGACAATTCTCTTCCCTCCACAGCGATCGCAAGCAAATCTCCGTTGGTATGGTTGGCTATCCCAATACAGGAAAGTCTTCCATTATCAACACATTGCGCAAGAAGAAGGTCTGCGTTGTCGCGCCGATTGCCGGTGAGACAAAGGTCTGGCAGTACATCACACTCATGAAGAGGATCTACATGATCGACTGCCCGGGTATCGTGCCGCCGAACCAGAGCGACACAGATGAGGACCTCCTGCTGAGAGGCAGTGTACGAGTCGAAAACGTCGAGTATCCGGCACAGTACATTCCTACAGTGCTCAAGCGAGTACAGCCGAAGTACCTTCAGCGGACTTACGAACTCAAAGAGCCTGCCACAGATGCCGTCACATTCCTTGAGATCCTTTGCAGGAAGAGCGGACGTCTTCTCAAGGGTGGTGAGGCTGATATCGAGGGTGCTGCCAAGATGGTGCTGAACGATTGGATCCGTGGCAAGCTTCCCTGGTTCACGCCGCCGCCATACAAGGAGGGCGAACAAGGCCCTGCTGTAGGCATTGAGGGCCGTGAGGGTGCGCTCGGCGAGATGAGCAAGAAGAGAAAGCGCGGTACCGACAGCGAAGCAGTAACTAGTGTTGCTGCTACCGTCGATACCACCGGTGCGCCTCAAGACGAGGCCGAGAAGACCGACGGCGAATTCGACGGCTTCAGCGATGAAGACGATGAGGTTGATGAAGACGACGACGAGTCGGAGGAGGCGAATCTCGCTGGAGGCGTGTCGCTCGAAATCCCTAATGTGGAGGAAGATGAAGAAGATGACGAAGACGTTGAAGCAGATATTGCAGCAATATCTGCCGCGTTATCGAAAGCGAAGAAGCGGCAACGGAAAGTATAGGAGCACTCTGATGATTGAAATGATACCCCTTTCTCGAGCCATCCGGCTCATCCTATTCATGTCTTCTCTTCAATCAGCTCCCTGTGATGTACCGATAGCGTGGTGTCGCTCAGACCCCCACCAACGCTGCCAAACCTGATGCTGGGTCAGAAACACTGCAATGAAACTTGATGGATTATCATCTCATTGCACTCGCCTCGGCATTGCAGCACAGACGCTCGGTATACCTCGACGCGATGACTGTACCAGACTTCTACATGAGCCTACAAATGTTGTGCGAGGTTGTTCGTAGATTTGTACTCCGGCCGTACATCTAGCCCCGGACCCAGCAGTTTTGACCAATCACACGCCGCCAAAAACGACCGCTTGCTTTCCGCGCGTACGCGGGGTTAGGTCAATGTTGCCGACAACGGCAGAGTACTCCGGCAGAACGCATATCCCTCTAAAAACTACATGCATATATTACACCACGGCCGTACACGCCACCACTGTTCCTTTACTTCGACCTCCATACTCGAAAGCACACATATACATCACAATGGCACCTAACTGGGACAGACTCATCCGCTTCATTGCGACAGACGGTCGTGAGCTGCGGGGTCAACCCGTCCTTCCTTCCCCAGACTTCGATGTCGGCACAACAACAGAAGCCACAGGACTCAAGGCCAAGGTCATTAGCGTAGCGAATGACGATATTTTTGATGCTGCCACCAAGGTCACAGACGAGGAAGTCACCGTCAAGAAGCTACTTGGTCCCGTGACTATCGACGAAGTGCCAATCATCCGCTGCATTGGCCTGAATTTTATCAAGCACAGTAAGTCAATCATCGCAAGATATGACGATCGTTATACTGACAACCTCCAGTCCAAGAAGGCGGCCGCACACTGCCCCCTCTCCCCAGCACATTCATCAAAGCGAACACCTGCCTGCAAGATCACGACGGCCCCATCGTGATCCCCAAGATCGCGCAAGACAACCAAGCCGACTACGAAGGCGAATTGTGCTTCATCCTTTCCAAGGACGCCAAGGACGTATCCGAGGCTGATGCCTTCGACTACATCGGCGGCTACCTGTCCGGCAACGACGTCTCCAGCCGCAAGTGGCAGCGCGACCCTGCTCTCGCCGGAACCGTCCCGCAGTGGAATTTCTCCAAGGGTTTCGATACATACGCGCCCGTTGGTCCGCAGATCGTCAGCACCAAGGTTGTTCCGGACCCCAGCAAGTTGACGCTGCAGACACGCGTCAACGGCGAGCTAAGGCAGAACTCTGGGATTGATGATTTGTGCTTCAAGATCCCCACGCTCGTTGCGTTCAGCAGCCAGGGTACGACGCTGAAGAAGGGCACTATTTTCATGACCGGGACGTGCGCCGGCGTTGGGTATGCGATGAAGAACCCGCAGTTCTTGAAGCCGGGGGATGTTGTCGAAGTCAGTGTAACGCCCGAGATCGGGACAGTGAGGAATACTGTTGAATTTGCGTAGGCAGGAGGTAGACAATGTGCGCGAATCACAACCCACGTTTGAACAAAATGATACCAAGGCTTACAACTTGCCCGTTCTCCGTGCTGGTGTAGAGTGCAGTCGACCAATTGTTGCTGTATTGATGAGGATACAAGGGTCCAAAGTGAACAATATATCGCAACAAGACGGTGCTGCAACATCTATGCTGGTAATGCTTTGCTCATTCTCGACGATCTATCTGGATCAGTCATGAATGTATTGTCGTGCTGTAGGCTCCGAGCCTTTTTATCGCGTCGTCGTACAGCTTCTAGTGTCTTGGTTGAGCGCTGTTACGAGTCCAATTCAGAGTCGCATGTTCATTGCTAAATTATGAAACCCAGCTTCGAGTGGAAGAGGCGTTCAAGTCATGCTCAAGCACACCTATCGACTGCGAGAGTCACTCCCGGAGTGAAATTTCGACGTTGCAAGCCCACAGACCTAAGAGACAGTAGCTGGGATACCCGAACGCTGCAATTCACTCTGTCGTTGGCTTGTAATCTCTGGCCCGTCAGCGCCTTAAAACAGCTTGATTCAGCGCATTGTTTCAGCCAAACTGTAGTTGCGTACCGTAGGTCTCATGGACACTTAGAGCCACATATGCTTGGCAGGTCCGGTCCCTCTAGAATGTACGCACGCAATAGTAGGTACGAGATCCCCGGTTTCATGTACTATTTCATGTGCGCCTGGTACTTATCACCTGGGTCGCCGTCCGTAGCGGAGACCAGATACACCAAAGCGATCCCCCAAAGGTCGAGATCTTTAGCTGTAGAGTCTGCAGCGTACTGAAGGATTCTGTCGAGCACGTTCTTGTCGATCATGATACACGCGTGATATCGTGACATTGCGCGGTCTCTCTCCGTCCCTGATGATATTCAATCTTTAAACCTACTACACTCAGTGTCAGTAACTGGTCTCGATGACTATTTCTCACATATCTGCGCACTGCGTCGAAAGTGGCACCATCAAGACTGGAGTCTTCCTGTACGTTCCAATCGAGTCTATCAACCACATCTGCAAGTCCATTTTTCGCCATGCTTTCGTACACAGTCGAGTTTAGATATTGCATAAAGCGGTTCCGATCCACATTCAGAATACGGGTCAGGTAGAGTGCTCTAAATTTCCTCAGACGGCATAACTTCAGAGCTAAACCAGAACTGGGTCAGTTCAGCATCTACAGCGAACGTTAGGCCGACTCCAAAGCCAGAGTCAGGCCCAAAATCTGTACAGCCATAGAAGCCTACAAACACAGTGTCAGCGAAGCCCTCGAAGTCTGCCACGCCGACCAAGGCGGCAAATGCTCCTACTCTGATTTTCAAGATCGTTCGACCGATCGCGCCCATCGATACCTGTAGATTACTGTGTGTAGTTCACGAAGACAATGATGATAATGTTGGTGGTCTCGAAGACGAGAATAGTCTTGCTGCTCAAGCTCTGTGGAAGCGCGGTAGTGCGAGGGCTTTCGAAGCAGCTATAGGCAGTATGGTACGTTCCTGTGATCCAATCCCACGAACACTGATACCCGTCCTCAGCATCAGGTGCCGCTTAGTTTCAATTCTTTGGGATATCCATCGGGTTCTGAACTACTCCAATCACGTCAAGGTCAATCTCTGGCTAAACCATTCTTGATTTCACAGACGAAACAGATTTGAGAGACATTGTCGTCATGGATATTAATCGAGTCCCCATGAAATACACTCCCTACGTGACTGAGCTTATCGTCGAGGTAGGTTCCGCTTGGCACTCTACACAGCCACTGCTGACGTTTTGCAGTTGCAGACAATCGAGATGTTCATCATGTCCATGAGCGACCGTGACACCAAGTATGGCGCCGCAAAGCTCTCGCAGACTGCGGATGGTATGTTCTTCCAGGACCATCAGACGGAAAAATTGACAGTGATCAAGGTTGCCAAGCGAGCTCATAAGCCGAACATCAAGATGCGAAAGCGCACTTCCCTCAATAATCTGGTCTTCGAGGCTTTGGGGTCTAGTTGCAATAGATAAGACTTCGTCCTTTGCGAAAAGAAGCTCAACTCCTTTAAAGAGCATACGTGGTCCGGAACAAAGACATATATGGATAGCAATATCCTTGAACGATTCGTCAGGTCTCCAGTCTCGAGAGCACGAACTTCGAAATACTTCCTTAGCACACTTCGCACAGTGAGGCGTTTGCGTGCCGTGATCTTCGGTCTTGTAATGCTGCTACGACGTGCCGTCAGAAACTCTCTGTCTTCAAATATCTCGAGCATCCGACTATAACCACCTGCATGCAAACCGACATCACGCAGGTCGAAACTGGAATAGGCAACATGAAGAACTTCACAGGAAAGGATATTACGAATGAGAATTGTCAAGCAATCGATGTACCGACTCTTTGGACCGAGCTCACGAACAAACATCAGGCAGTCGTCGAGAAACGCCACAAAGACTGGCTGAACGCACGGATCAAAGCGGCGGTCCAGCTGTATGATCCACACATGATGGATCTGAAGAAGCGGCAGTCGCAAGTGAAATAGGCCGAATCTGAATCTGGTGCGGCCAAAATCAAATACGCCAATGGTGGCAAAGCAAAGACGCAAAAGTTCGAGCTGGAGCTCAAACAGAAAGACTCGGCCGTGGCGAAGACGAAAAACGACGAAGGTGCAGCCCGTGAAGTGGTCAGAGACGTCGAGCATAAGATCGACAGGGAGCCCATATCTGCCCGAAAGAAGGTTATCAGAGCCAGATAGCGCATGGATGCAAGGAAGGCCGAGTTGAAAAGCACGCAACAGCTTATTTGCAGGCACTGGAGGCGAGGAATTTGAAAGAGAGAGAGAGATCCATCTACGCTAGCAGCAGGCTGTGCATGGCCTGGTTCTGGATATCCCGGCGAATCAGGAGCAATCGGCCGCATACAAATCGGCGGCGACAAACATCAAGATGTGTTGCAGCCAAAATAGAGGCAAAATGTACATACATTAGCACCCGTGAATTGGCTGGTAAATAGGCATGACATCTGCTGCGACAAGATGCACAAGCATGGTATGGGAGCCAATGTGCGGCTTGAACCTCCTCAGGTATGTACCCTCAATGTCCCACTTCTCGAAATTGCCTGGCGACAGCGCATCAAGCCACGGCCCTGCCTCATATATCTGCAACTGAGCGGTAGATCGTGTTGCAGGGCGTTGTAGCAGTTGGCATGAACAGGGATGCGAGCGTGGGGTTCTTGAGCGAGACGTGCATCGAACCGAAGCCTGCGCGGCTCTATGGCCATTTGACTGTATAGTCCTAGCAGGCACCGTGGAAGAAACGTCGGGGAGTGATTGACGTGTCCGGAGCATTCGCACTGGGGACCTTGGAGACAAATCTCATTAGCACGGGCGCCTTGCCGTTGTCAGCCTAGTGGCAGATGTAATCACAGCGCCGGTGCATCGATGTCTCTAGTATCGCTCGTCACTCTTTGTATCAGGGAATCAAGGATGCCAACTTTCAAGGCCAACGATGGAGTTCGTCTCCACTACGAGACGCATGGTGACAGCAAGAGTAAAGCATTGATTTTGGTGGGTTGCCATTCAGCGCTTTGGCCAGATCGTCATTGACGTCTTCACAAGCTGCACGGGTTCACGGGCTCAGGTCGGGTGTTCAAACGTAACGTCGATGGCCTCTCGCAACAATTTCACGTCGTTGTGCTCGACCTGCGCGGCCACGGCCAGTCTGAGAAGCCTCGAGCTGGATACCACGTGGCGCGGCTAGCACTCGACCTGAGGAATTTAGTCGAGCATCTGCAGCTCCCTGAGGGACAGATATCGGCGATCGGCACGAGCCTGGGAGCCGCCATTCTGTGGTATGCCAAGCTTTCCGAATGATCAAGCGAGCTGCACTGACATGGTGAAAGGTCGTACTGCGAGCTCTTCACGTCCAAGAGCTTCTCGCACGTGATCTACGTCGACCAAGCGCCTCTGCAAAACTACCTCTCAGACTGGGGCCCCGAGTACGGAAACCGCGGTCTGAACAACCCGCAAGCCCTCGCAGACGTGCAGCGAACCCTCGAGACGGACCCCAAGACGGCTCACCTGGGCACCATCGCTGCATGTCTGGGCTACCGCTCGCACCCTCAGGCCGACGACCCCACGTCTGACTCCCAGACGTGGCAAGACGACGAGGCTTTCTTCCTCGGCGAAGCTCTGGAAGGAGACGGGTGGTGGTACGGCAAGCTGATGGGCGACCACACGGCGCTGGATTGGCGGGACGCGGTTGCGCACGCATTTGGGCCGGGCAGCGGGAGCACCACGAAGACGCTCGTGATTGCGAGCACGAGGAGCGGGTGTTTCCCTGCTGCTGGGCCGTTGAAGGTTGTTGAGCTGGCGAACGGTGGCACGGAGGGTGGGCTGGCGAGGGGTGTTGCGGTGGAGTGGGGCGGGCACTGGTGTTATTGGGAGGACCCGGTGCGGTTCAACGACATGGTGATAGAGTTTCTGTCAGAATAATGAATCAACAGACTTCACGGTCGTTGTCCAGCAGCCCGTGCAGAGTGTGTCCAGCAGCCCGTGCAGAGTGTGTCCAGCAGCCCGTGCAGGGCGTGTCCAGCAACCAATGCAGAGTGTGTCCAGCAGCCCATGCAGAGTGTATCCAACAGTCAATGCAGAGTGTGTCCAGCAGCCCATGCAGAGTGTGTCCAACGGCCAATGCAGAGTGTATCCAACAG